ATCGAAAAATCTACACCACGAAGTTGTCGACGATATTTACGATGCGCGGGCAAATTGAAATTATTTTTGAGGTTATTGAGGTTATGATTCGTTTTGAGTACGGTAAAAAGTATAACTTTTTACATGTTACACACATAGTTTTTTTAAGTACACACATACACACGGTAAAATACCACCAAATCTTATAAATTTAATGATTTAATATTTAATATTTTATTTAAATATTTATATTTTAATTATTTATTATAATAGAGTATCTAATTCTAGTTTATTATATAAATTAATTTAATAAAAAATAATGTAAATATTAAAACACATAAATACACACATCAGTTTTTTTTTATTTATTAAACAAATCTTTCTTTTCGTCTTATTTTGTAATATATACAATTTAGATAAGATAATTTGGCTCATGTATAATCCGTTGGTATACGAAACAAATGACGTGATAACATTCGTATAAATCGAGAAATTCGATTCCTTATTCAATTATTTTAAACAACGGTTGTGTGTATGTGTGTGTGTGTGTATATCCTATCGTCTTATCGTAATAATGGAAATGATTCAAATTCCATACTAATGAACGCTTTTGGTTAGGGTCGGCGATAATAATACTCCCCGTTTCTCTTTCGAAACGGACGGAAGATAATAATGCGGAAATGCGAGGATCAGTTATTCATGATGCCGATAATAATTATAATGGGGGAAAATTTTTGCCAGGCATTTTTCAAATTATTTTACATTCACTAGGATCGAACATTAATCGTAGAGCTTACAATTAGTGTATGTTGCATTTTATTTGCGAAACAATGCTTTTATACACTTCCTTTTTACCTGTTTTGCATTGTCCACGTGATTTTTAAGATTTATGCAACCATTCGCTAGTGAATAATTACAATAATGCGATATAAGCTTGGAAATGTGTATATTTGTATGTATAATAAATGTATTTATGTTTCTATACGTATGAATCTATGTATATCTATGTGTATGCATGTACATATGAATTTGTATGCACCTATGTGTCTATGTGTATACATGTACATATGAATTTGTATGCATCTATGTGTCTATGTGTATGCATGTAAATTTGAATTTGTATGTATCTATGTGTATCTATGTGTATGCATGTATGAATTTGTATATATGTATATATAATATGTATATAGAAAAGACAGGTCTACCCGTTTCGCATTTATCTCTCCTGTCCGATTTTATTCACGTTCGTTTCTTCGTTCATTTCGAAGAATAGTAGAAAGAGACAGCGAGAAGTTTCTTATCAGGCGTCTAGCTAGCTAGCTAGCTAGCTAGGTAGCTCGTTATTCAATCGGCTCTTTACTTTTTCCCCATTGCACCCCCTCTAATTCGCCACTTTGCTTCTCTTCCTTTTCTTCCTTTGTTTTTCGAGAGATTGTACAAAGAGAGAAAGAAATAAAGAAGGAGGGATAATTTACTACGTTCGAACGTGTGAGAAATGGTTAAGGTGAGACAAACACAAAGAAAGTGGAACAGAATAAGCGATATATATATATATATATATATATATATATATATATATATATGTATTGTATATAGTGTTCGAGGAATATCAGAAAGAAAATTGGTGGTTCTCATGGGAGACAACTCAAGGATTTCTTTCTTTTCGTTTTGTTCCTGTCCTTAGGACGACAAGATATTTGTTTTTCTATCGAAGAAATCCTACGTCAAATATATTTTTTACACGATAATGTTTGAATTGATATTGTAAGCTTGCCAATAGAATACTTTGTTAGACGTGTATAAAATTAACAAAGATTAACTGATAATAAGAATCCTTATTATTGATTTGAATTTTTGAAAATTGTATTTAATATATTATTGTATTTGAATAAATTGATTTATGATTTTCAGACAACTTAGA